TTCCGGGAAGGTAGATTCCTTTGTCGCCAGACATCATGAGGGTCATCAGCTCCTGTTTTAGCCTCTTACCCATGGAGCCATTCGCACGGTGTTGGCAGACAGGGTCTCGGAAGACTGGACGGCAACTGCCATTCGTAATTTTTTTATGGCTACACAAGTAGACATTTTTTCTGGTCTTATCTGCTTTCAGTCAAGATCCCTCTGATCCCTTATATCATGTCCTCTTCTGGATCTGGCTTGATTTTTTTGGCAGTTTGCTGTATACCACTGCAAGCCTTTCATCTTTATTTAGTAAACTACTACTTTCATGTTATATTAATGACATTGTTTGATAATTTCTGCATACTGTTGAGTCACTTCTTTGAATGGGCACAAGGGTGTATCTCCAGTCAGTCGGTCAGGTAGCTGTCTCTGAATTTTTTTGGCATAGATGAGTGAGTGCTTCCATTGCTGCATCAGTTTGTTGAAGCATCTTAATTTTTTGAGTTCTTTCAGCTTGAAAGGTGCTTCCTTTTTAATGTTCTAACTTTCAGGTCTTTGTACATTTTGTGCAAAATACTTTGTTTTCTTTTTTAATATTTTGTTTTCTTGAGCTGTCCTTTGAATTCTCCCCAGCTCATTGACCTCATTGTTCATTTCAGTATTCGGCATTCGGGAGCAATATTCTGGGTTTCTTTTAGCATCCATTTTGATCTTTAAATTTTTTTATGAGCTTTTTTCTCATATTTAGTATTCTTCGAGTGTTTGCTTTTTCAGAATTTTTATTCTGAATTAGGTGAGGATTTATATAATCAGGCCATCACTTTTGCATTAAACAGCTAAACCACTTATCAAACTACCTAATGGTTAACCCTAATTCCCCTCAACTACTACTCCCCGTCTCTCTCTTACAGAATATTTTCTTCCTTTTTACCCAAGTTAACACTTGTCACCCTGGAGCCTATGGCTTCCCCATCCTTCCTTTTCCCGCCCTCCCCTGGTGACCAACAATGTCTGTTTCTTTTCATTAAAACCTTCTGGTATGTGTGGATATATGTGTGTGTTGTATGTATGTATGTATATTAATACTACATACCAGTTTTTAAATTCTTCCACTGCTGGACATTTTTGTTGTTTCATCTTGTTATTGTGAATAGTGCTTCAGTGAACATAGATAGGTATGCAGATAGCTTCTGGCGTCATGTTCTTTATTCCTGTAGGCTATCTACCAAGCAGCATGGTAGGACATTTCTGTTCTCAATTGTTTGGGGGGAAAGCACCATACTCTTTTTTAATTAGCACTTATTGAAGTGCTTATTTGTCTGTAGATTTTAGAGTTTAGTCCCTTGGTCAGTATATCATTTCTAATCCACCCCCTCCAGGTTGTGAGTTCTCTTTATACTTTTCTGGTGAAATCTTTTGATATACGTAAGTTTTATGGTTTTAGGAGGTTCGAGTCATCTATTCTGTCTTCTGTTATATGTGTATTTCATTATATTTCATAGTATTTTCTGTTATATATTGGCCTGTTAGCTTAACACTAATGATCTGTATAATTCTAGTGTTTATTTTACACTTAGGTCTTAACTCATCTTGAATGCATTTTTGTATATGAAGTGAGGTATGGGTCCTATTTTATTCTTCTGCAAAGGGAAATTCAAATCTTTGTTGAAGAGACCGTCTCTTTCCTCATTTAATGTGTTACAGTACTTTGTGAAAAATTTTGTGTCTGTAGGTGGATGAGTTTATTTTGAGTTTCTCTGTTCTGTTCCATTGGTTAGACATATAGA